TATATATATATATATATATATAATTTTAAAATTACAATGTTACAATAAGAAATGACATGTCAGCGGTAAGGTACACGTGAACAGCCCTAAGTGGAAGTGAGGTAGCATGGAAAAATGGTATGATAGAAAAAGTTAAATAAAATGTTACTCAATGCTATAATAAGAAAAAAAAAATTCGAAGTACAATGCTTTGATAAAAAATAATTTAAAAGTACATTTTTGTAATAAGTAAAAATGAGAGTACGATGCTATAATAAGAAATTTTATGAAAATATTTTGTTATTTCATGCATTTTTATATTATATATAGGCGAAGGATTGCGGAATAAAGAAAATTATAATGAAAAACGTAATAAGAGATCTGAACATTTGATCACTTTTAATCTAATGTCCATCCATAAATTGTATTTTAAAAAGGAATTGATCCAGTGTATCTCGGTGCATCTCATTGATGTTAACATTCAATTAGCATTGATCCAACGATGGAGATATTTTCTTATGTTTCTCAACCATAATTCTATTTCTCACTGGAACCTAACCCTTATATATAGGCAAAAGATTGTATGAGAATGAGAGTTATGATGAAAAACATAAGAAGAAATCTGAAACATTGATTACCTTTAATTTCAAACTCACTCATAAATCGTGCTTGATACGAGGATTAATATAGTGCATCTAATCCTAATTAATATGCATATAAGGGTGAAGATCTATTCATAGACTTCTTACCGAAACCCAACCTCTTCTCTCTCTTTAATATATATTTTCTACATATAATAATAATTAGAATATATATAACATATATTATATTTTCTTTATATAATATCAATAAATAGAATACTTATAACATATATCTATACTATCTTATTAAGCAAATTTAGCAAAAATCTTAAAGTCTTAAAATACTAAATGACCAAAATACCCTTTATACTCACTTTTTCAATTTTTCACCCCCTCCTTTCCTCACATACACTCACCCCTTCACATACACTCACCCTTTCACAACTGATTTGTTTTAAAATTATAATTTTAAATTTACACTTTATACCCCTATAATTAATTAATTAATTTACTTTACGTCATTTACTTTTAAATATTTCATTTTAAACTTTTATCAAATTAACATACATAATCGTATATAAATTAAAACATGTTTAAAAAAAACATTTTTATTTTAACATGTTACACCATTATAATCGTC